AAGAACGACTGTTAATTGGAAATTATACAATTACTTTGCAAAATTTATGGTGATTTATGCTAGTGGTCGCAAAAGGTAGGTGTAAAGCAAAGCCATTCATGCAGACAATGACCTGAGTGCTTTAAGTCCGGTGCAAAAACGCATGATCGCACGGGCCTACCCGTGCGTTCCAGCCTGGGTCTATATTTTATTTAGTTGACCCTATGTCCCTTGTAGATTATCCGGTATATTAGACCACCCCAAACGACTGTACACGATTTTGAAAATTCATAATTTTGCTGAACATGTCGTCATGGCTAGCTTACTATGACGATGTGCTCAGTAAAAACAAATGCGACTTAGACTCCTGCACTGAAGTTAGGCATGATATTGTATCTCAAAACGATTCAGCATTTCAACGCTTTTTTGGCCTGCTTGGCATTTAGCGCAAGTTCATACCTGGCTTTGCACAAATCTCATCTTCGTTAACAGAGCTGACCGAAAAGGCTTGTCGATTTCACTGGAATAACTAGCAATCAGTTTTTGAAAAACTGAAAAACTTGCTTTCCCAGGGACTCGCATTTAGATATCCCAACTATGAGAAGGATTCACTGACTGCTCCTCAGTGGCGCAGGCAGCAGATCTTATACAGCAATCGGATGAATCTAAAAGCACTTATTATGCCATCTTCTACTCCAGCGGAATATTCTTCGAAAGCGGAAGACACTGACCTATAACAAAAGCGGAGCTAGCAACCACTGTTTGAGCTCTACGCACCTTCAAGCCCTATATTTTTATGTCGGAACGTACTGCAGATACTGATCATATTCCCCTGGCATTTGTTTTAAAGAAAGCGTTAGCTCACCCCAATTTCGCACTTTAGATAACTGAACTACATATTCGTTGGAGAAGATTTGAATCTCCGCCTGGAAGTTCCAATTCATCAAAACTTACACGCTATATTAGTTTGCCTTTTGTTATTCGTGTGTTTTGTAATAGGTTATTTCCGTTAGTCTATTGCCATGCTGACTATGAATTACGGTAAGAGAAATCGTGTTTTGAAGTGTGCTAGGCACCTGATATCAGCTTTATAAAACATAAAAATGGTTTTTTTACGACATTTTGATTGTATAATGATTAAGTTGTCATTGTCGGAGTAGGCTGAGTTCGTTGTTTGCCGCCGTTGTATCCAGAAGTGGGGATTTAATTTCTCTATCTGAAGCTTCATCCTCGTTTCCCGAAATACTTATAGTTTTTTTGGTCTGGATGGTGTTTGCTGATGCTTCGGATGTAACTGCAGTACTTCGTTGTTTTTTATAATCGGCAACCTGAAAGCCAATCTACTGACTGCACTTTGCTCCTTAAAATCGAGTAATTCACTTTGGCACGATCACCTATTTGTTCTGTAGTTAAGCCATTTCAGCATTCGTTCACGAGCTTAAACATATTTTGCTGGAATTGATGGAAATTTACCGTTAAAAGATAGCAGCAAAAACATAAAAATCCAGAAAAGACAAATAAGACCGACATGATAATAAGTATACCAAATGTTCTGGGATCCGGTAATATTAGAGTTACGATATCCTGAAATTTGTAACGTGTGTTAAATCTATACGTTCATATTGTTGCGTAACATCAAATTCAAATTAATAATGGGCTGAATCTGCTGCCTCGCGTGCTTAAAAGCAGGTCTGAAAAAAAGGATACTTTGAGCACACTGAAAAATTGCGACACCGAGTCTTGCACTCCGAATACTGTATTGCGCTGCATCTCCGGCACTGTTTCTTGCATAATTTGCGTTATTGACAGGTCTGCCATATACAAACCTAAAGCAGTCATTTTAGCTTTTCCGAATGAATTGCATGCATACTCCGTTTCTGTAATAATTAAAAATTTTTAGTAATAACTCTGAAAGAGTTTGAGCGACACGAAATCATGGTATAGGCCACATGGGTTATGCTTCTTTTGTCATTGTGCTTTCCTCTGTAATACAGGTATTTCTGTTTGAACTTTTCCACGATGATTGTTGTAGTCTTATCTATATGTTAATAAATGATGCAAACCTAATCGTGCAATGGCAACGCCCATAAGAAGTGAGAAAACACTGATAATGGAATGACCCTGAGACGTCCACGTTGACCAGTCAATGTTGGTTTCGCCCGTTTCGCTTGCATTTTGAGCAGGTAGAAATTCAAAACTTTTGCGCAACTGCTGCCACCAAATCTTAACTTGTGGAATTCAAAATATGAAAAGAAAACTTGTGACCCTCGCTTATACAATAATTCCAGCTTGGGATTAGAATCCGCTACAGAAAACTCGATCCCCGACTGTTTCTTATATGCAGCGTCTGTGTCATCCAAAAGATTTGTAGTTCAATAAGGTATTTTTGAAAGCATGAATGAAATGGATAAAACCAGCAGCTTCTTCTTTTGTCTCAAGCTCTTTGTCTGGATATTTCAGCCCAGCAACCATGCAAGCTCAGTTGCTCAATTTTCCAGAGCGCTCCCGGGCCAGCTGTGAAGCCAGAAACGTGATACCAACTTTCAAGCACGACGGCATCTTGAGTATTTACAAGTGAAAAGTTTGGTAGGAAAATTGCTAACTCGAAAACTACACAAGCTAGGGAATTGAGGTTTTAAGAGCATTTTCTTTGCCTGTGTACTTATTTCAAAGATTTTAAGTTCGGTTCCTAAGTACATCTAGGTCTCATGTACGGATACGAGGAAATTTTTGCGATGAAATCGTTAACTCGGGAACCAGGAAAGCTGAGCAGCTTAACTCTAGGGGCGTGATGTTTGTTTATGTACAATTCATGGTTTCAGATACAGTTCCTAAGATATGGGCATGTGAAGGGTTGGGTGGGAAATTTGATGGCAAGTTTTCAAGCTCGGGGAACATAAGTAAAGAGTGATTCTTATTTACGTGGGATTTGATGTGTTCAGATTGTGCCCACACATGTTTAGGTTTCACTTGCTGACATGTGCGACTTCTGATGGGAGCTTTTCCAGCTCCGAAATCAAAGAACTAGGAAAGTGAAATATTAGGCAGCTGTTTTACGCCCTTATAAGACCGTGGAATTTTCAATTCGGCTGTAATGTAAGTCTACTTCTTATGTTCGTAGGAACATGTGAAATTTAACGTTAGTTTTTTTTCAACTCTTAACCAGACAAGCTAAAAAGTTCATTTTTTTGATATCATGACTATTAGCTTTGCTCCTATGCGAAACTAAGCCGTAGGAACCAAACACGACATTTCAGTCCGAATATTCTGCTCTGTTATGATAATAAAAGAAAATTCTGAAGCAAAACTATCATTCATCAAATAAGCAATTGTAAAATTGCACGCCCGCACAAACAGTTCTGGTATGCACCGCCACTGCGAAGTTATCAAATCAGGTAAGTTTTGTAAAGAAAGTTTCTAACACTTCATTTAAAGTGCTGCCCCAAACTGAATCTCAAGGCACAGGCTCCTTATTTAGTACTTATTTTTTAAAAATAAATCAACCGTGCTCTTTTCTATCTTCATGTCGTTTTCGCATTTTCGCCGTTGTCTTCTTGCGATTCTAGTCTTGAACGATTGAACGCATGCTCTTTAAAAATGTTGCGGGCGAATGTTTGTATCCTGGGACTAAATTTCCAAAACATAAACTCTCTAGTTTGCATGGTTCTGGAGTTAAATCGCCCCAAAGCGCACATATGCACAAGTAGACATGGCCTTGCAGTGATGTACTGTTATTTGCACAAAGGCAAAAATACATTAAATCTATAAACCCAATGTTTATTCATACAAAATGTTTGCATCGGCAGAATAAACTCACTGAAATAGTGGTTTCCTTGAAATACGTGCCTGGGTCGAATGGTGAGCCTGGTAGCCAAATGGACACCACACATATGCTGAGAGCGAGTTGCTGGGACTTAAATAAATGAGGCGGTAATCTTCATATGGAATACACAAAATTTGTTTTCAAAAATGCTTCTCCAGCCTTGGATGCTACCTGTCGAGGAAAAGCGCCTCGAATGGAAAAAAGAAAACAAAGGAAGCAAAAGCGACACATAAATTA